CTCTTCCTGTACTGGATCAATGTTCCATTCAGCACATGGCTGCTAATCTGGATTGCCTTTTCTGCCCAGATCACCTTGGTCTGCTGGGAGGACCACCTGCTGCCATCCCTATACCTATTGTCTTTTCTGAAGCCTGAAGGAGATCCTGCATTGAGGCATTGCTAGACCATGAGGCTACTTATTATCTTCTTGAAGAGATCACACTGTTAGCAGCAGTTGGTTTTCTCCAGGAGTGTAAGATCAATTCATCCCAACGCTGTACTGTCAAAGTCTCCAGTCACAGTCACATTGGTGCTGTTGTCTTGAAGCCACAGCACTCTAGAGCAGAGAATTCCAAAGATTCATAATCTTCTGAGGGATAGAAAAGTTCCTCACGTTAATCCTAAACTGCCAGTTCCCTAACTGAGACAATGCTCCCTACCAGGGAAACAGACTCTGTCAAAGCCCTTCAGAATCTTACATGTTTCAATGAGATCACCTCACATTTTTTGAAACTCAGGATATTATAGTACAGTTTTACACTCTGAGTGTAGGAGTTTGGCACTAGATAATTGATGCTTATTTGAAGAGGTGGTGCAGGCATGATGGGCCTCGTGTGCTATAACAATTCTGTAATTCTGTAAAGACATCTCATTATTCATCAAGCAAGTTACAACTCAGCAACCAAAAATGGGCAAGATTTGAAAGTAATGAATTTTACATGATTCTCCCAAAGAAGTGAAATTTCGCAGTGCTATATACATTTTTCTCACATGCACATTGCATACACTTGTGCAGCTATAATATTTTGCAACATCTCTTCCTATCATACCTGCATTACTTCGGACGTAGTTCAGGCTGCTTAAATTTATGTTGTAATTGTTGAGATACCCTTGGTCAATAACAACAAACCCAGACTATGTATCTCTTGAAAACTTTGACGCTTGAAAATGGGTTGAGGCGAGAGCACATAGAAATCTTGATTCTCCAAAGTTTTACATTATAAGCAAATAGAAAGACTATGGTGTTCAGTTAAGACGTTCCTACAAGTCTTTTTAGTACAATGTTACAGTTGATTCAGGCAAGCAGTTTATAAATAACTGTAATCTTAGTCTTCAGTTCCCTCATGGCTTGTTCCAAACCCTTTCGCACAGTTGACGTTTAATCTATATTTTACTTTTGTATGCTCCATTGACAAGTCTGTAAAAGTACTAGAATAGGGAAGAAAATGACCGTTTTATAGTATTTTCAGACTGATTTAAAAGGAGTAGACATGGTGAAAGGGTTGCTAAAGATCCAGACAAGGAAAAACATTCATTTTCGGATTGTGAATTACTGCTGCAGGGACGTATATGTTCGATTGTTGAAACATGGGCCAAAGATCAGAGCCAAAGGAATTGGTAATATCTTTGTTCAATGTTACCCTTGCTGTAAGATTATTTTTGAATCACAGGCACTGACTGATAGAATTGGTTATTGGGAAAATTTACAGGTCAACAGGCTGATTTATTTAATTCACTTTGGTGCATTAATCTTAGACGTGAATTCAAACTGCGCTTTGAACAAAATCAAAAAGGTGTTTGTTACTTGCAACTCAGTGTATCTAATGTTCAGTGTTTCCACTGAATTTGAGATAATAAATACACAATCCGCTCTAATATGAAAGATATGAACAGCAGTAGTTGATGCTGTTATATAGGAAAAGTCTAGTAGAAATGTAAATGAGGTGTGATTACCACTTTCTCCCCAGTCAGAGATTTTAGTTCAAGAGAAAAATTAATGAATGGGGTAACTTATGGGAATTGTAATCCAGTTGTGACGCTAATTATGACATGCTTTCTCAAATTACTATTGCTGAAATTGTTTTTCCTGTTATAGCAAAAGGTAACAATTCCAGCTGTATCTAAGTTCTGCAAGATATTGACACACAATGTTCATGTGCTGTTATGAAATTGTTTGACAAAAAATAACCCAAAGGACTCTGGATGCTGGATATCAGAAACAAAAACAGAAATTGCTGGAAAAACTCAGCAGGTCTGGCAGCATCTATGGAGAGAAGGTAGAGTTAATGTTTTGGGTCCAGTGACCCTTCTTCAGAATTGATTTTACCTAGGTATATATGCTGAAGATGGGGTGAGGGGAGGGGGAGGCGTAAACAATTGGTAGAATTGGTTCCCAGAGAGAGCGTAAAACAGTTGGGCAGACATAAGAATGGGTAAACGTCAGTCTGGGAGAATCAATAGCTGCTAATTGGGATCAGTAGTTGCTGACAATTGGTTGTTTGTGGTAGCAACCCATGTGATGACAAAGTCTGATGTGTAGAGGTTGGGGTAAAAAGATGGTAGAAGATGCTCAGGTCCTAAAATTATTGAACTCGATATTGAGTCTGGAAGGCTGCAGGGTTCCCAAGTGGAAATTGAGATGCAGTTCTCCCAGCTTGCGCTGAGCTTCACTGGAGCACTGCAGCAAGCCTGAAGGGTCTAGACCTGAAACGTCAGCCTTTTTGCTGCTATGATGCTGCTTGGCCTGCTGTGTTCATCCAGCTCTGCACCTTGTTGTCTCGGATTCTCCAGCAATTGCAGTTCCTACTATCTCTGACACAGAGATGTTGGCCAGAGAACACAGTGCTGTGTTGAAGTGGCAGGCAACAGGAAGCTCAGGGTTCAGGTACATAGTTCTTTGAAAGTTGGATCACAGCCAAACAGGTGGATAATTATCTTGGGGTAATTATGCACAGATCCCTGAAGTCAGCAGAGCACATGAATAGTTAAGAAGGCATATGGGACTTTTACTTTCATCAGTCCTGACATAGAGTATAAGAGCAAGGAGGTAATGATGGGAGTTTTACAGAGGGTTGGTCAGGCCACAACGGGAGTACTGTGTGCAGTTCTGGTCACCTCACTGCAGGAGGGATGTGATAGCACTGGAGGGCCTACAGAGGAGGTTCACCAGGATGTTGCCTAAGATGGAGATACTGACCTATAAGGAGAGTCTAGATAGGCTTGGATTGTTTTCTTTAGAGCAGACAAGATTGAGGGAGGACATGACTGAGGTGTAAAAATTTATGAGGAGTACGGAAAGGGTGAATAGAGAACAGCTGTTCCCCTAGGTAGGGGGTCAATCATGAGACGGCATTGTTTTAGGGAAAGGGGCAGGTAAAGGTCATTTATGAACAAATCCATGCTTTCCTTACATCTCTGTTTCATCTGATTAAATTTCACATGTTCTAGTGTTAAATTTCTGCTCACACTGAAGTAGCATCAAATGTCCTCAATACCTCTTCATATAATACTATATTTTCGTCAGTACTGTCTTGCAACTACATCATTCACAACAGTCCCCATCACATATAGGCCTGATCCTTTTACCCTTTAATTCTGAAGCTGTTCTATACTTCATAAATCTTTTCTTCTAAACCTCCCACTCCTGGGTCTGGTTTAGTCCATTGATCACCTGAAAGTGGCATGTTTGACTCCATGACTCTCTTGAACTCTGCATGCTCCTTTGACTGTGACCGCAGTTATCCTGCTACCTACTGCTTCAGGTCCGGATCATTGATGCCTTGCCTTTGGGTCTGTTTCTAAGTCCTCTGTGGCCTGTGGTGACCTTGACATCTTGGATAATTCTTGAAAACTTTTCTTTCTTCTTTCTTGACCATGAGGTTCACTTAAATAAAATCATCATAGTACTGCTTCGCCATTAGAGAGAGATGACTGGTGGTGGTTTAACCTGAGGGTCACCGCACTTCAGGCAAGGGGAGAGTTTGAGAAGGTGGGACTTTCATGGTAACCTCAGTGGTGCAGGATTTTAACCCATACTGTTGATGTTACTCTGCATTGCAAACCAGCATCCAGCCAACTGAGCTAACCAGCCACTTAAATGGCTGCATTTGACACATATTTTAGTTTACACTGTCCTTTCTGATGCCACCAACACTGTCAGCAAGCTTTACAGCGTGTATGGAGCCTAACTCTAATTAGTCTCCCAAATGTGTCTCAGTGCTTTTCATTAGAACTCATGGTTTACAACATTGCTGATATACACATCTCTGAAGACTCTAATAGAGCTTCTATTCCCTTCAGATCATACTACATAATCATGTGATACTGACATCAACTTTACATTATTATACAACATCGTCATTGTACATTCTGCTCAGGTCTCATTGCCCTACAGCCACAGCACAGAAGGAGATGTTTCAATCCATTGTGCCATATAGGTTCTTTGGGACAACAATCTGATTAATCAAACTGCTTTCCCTTTCCCCTTAATCATGTAGATTTCTTTCCTTCATATATTTAGCCAGTTCTCGTTTGAATATGACCATTGAATCTGCGTTTACCACCTCTTGAACGGCCGTACATTTTTGACAAATCACTGCATAAAGTTTCTTTACATTACTTCTGACTCTTTTGCCAGTCACCTTGAATCTGTGTTGTCTGATTACCAGCCCTTTTGCCACTAGTAACAGATTCTCCTTATTTAGTCAGTCAAAACCATTCATAATTTTAAATACCTCTGTCAAATCTTTTATCGTCCTTTGCTCGACAGAGAACAACCCAAGTTACTCCAGTCTCTCCTCATCCTTGGTAAAATTATAGCAAATCTATTTTGAACTCTGTCTAAGACCTTGACATCTTTCATAAAGTGTAGGGTCCAGAAATGAACACAATAGTCCAGTTGATTCTGTTTGGATATCGATAATTAAAAAAAAAGCTAAATACTGGAAGTGGCCCATGTCTATCTGTGTGGACAGCAAAATGATAGCATGAGACCAAACTATATAATTTTACTTAAATATGTCAGGTTCAGATTCACTTTCTTAAACTCATTGTTGATTACTGACTCCATTTTTTGTTGTCATTTAAGAACCAAAAATTGGTTTAGCAAATGTACTTGTTATTCTCCTGTACTCTTGCAGTAAGAAATTATTGCAATCCCACATAGTTTGAAGTAACAATCCCTCACCTGATTTTTCATTTTGGTTATTTTGCCATTTTAATCAACAAAGGCCAGAGCAGTTAGAAACCAGCCCCATCAAGTGTAGTCGTCAAAATCCCTTTTCTAAGTCCAGTACTATCTATGCCCTTTCAGGCACTGAAAAAAGTACAAACAAACACAGCAGCCAGACTATGTTCTGCCGAAGAAAATAGCAAATGTTCAGTGGTGAAGGAAGTATTTATTCAACCTACCATCTTCCAATTGGATAATTAGGACCAGGTTTCTCAGATGACTTGAGAAGAATTATTCTGTAGTTAATAAGGTGTGAATAGACAAGTTATGAAATCCATTAAGAAAGCTAAATGTAGGAGACAAGTTTTCACCTGCAGTCTCTCACACATTGACGCACGTTCAGCAGGGAGAAGACGATTGTGAAATGTCAAGTTAAGATCTTTAACTGTTCTTGTACTTTTCAGGTGGAGAGTTTTTGGTTTTGAATGATGAATCTACTTCTGAAGCAGAAAAGGAAAAAGAGCCACCAACTGAGAAAGGAGACATGGGCGAATTCAAATGTGAGAACAAAGAAGAAAATAGTGATGAAGCTTTAACTATATCAGAATTGGTGTATAGTCCAAGTGCCAGTGTCCTGCCTACTCCTGTAGAAGATAGTGGAATTGACTTGCTTTTTAATAGTCATGAGTTTGGAAATCAGAGGGATGAAGGAAGCTTGTATGATGAGCTAGATGCAAATGAAACCACGCCTCTGATTGCTGAAGAAGAAGAATTAAAGGAAGTAAAGCAAGTACTCACGAGCAGCTTTGAATTGTTAACAAGCAACAAACATCTGAACGCACTAGCAAAGAGCTTTGTGAAACTTCTTCTGGTGGGGTTGGGCTTGATGCTGTTTGCTTTCCCACTTCTTTTGGTCTTGCTGGAATCTGACATTGATGCTTCTTTTCTGAGGGAAATCCGGCAGACACCAGAGTTTGCACAGTTTCACAATGAATACTACTGTCCGCTTAGACAGTGGTTTGCATGTAAGGTACATTACATCCTTGATAAGCTAGGCAGCACCTGAAACTACACCAATGTCCAGCTGGACAAACAGTAACAACTTGTGACAACTTTGTCTCTGAGCAAAACTTATTTCTGCTGTTTTTACTGTTTTTATGTTTTGTACCTTTTTAATGTGGTTAAAAAGTATTTCAGGAAATTTTATTCATATTTTGAAGTGAAAATTGCTCATGAAATGATTGAATTGTAATGTGCAAAGTAATAAGTGTGGCATGAAGGAGTACTTTCTGATATTCCATGGTTGTTGTATTTGTGTATGACTATACAGCATTTTGTTTCCATCTTTTTCAAGATGGGTGCAAGATTCCAAATGGTCTATACAGATGAATAACTATTATGGCAATGGACTGTTTTTGTCTATTTGCATAAAATGTATTGACTGGGTTACATGTGGTAAGATGCATGATTTTGGAGGGTGGGCACTTAGTATTTTCACAGGCTCTAAAATCAAATCAACATTTATTTAAATTTATTTAAATAGAAATTATCCATAATAATTGGAAACACCGAACTCATTTGGGGTAAATTTCCATGGAAGTTCTTCCACTTGTCTATTGTAACTGGGGAAAAGTTCAACAGAATGTCTCCATTCCATGGAAATACACCCTGTTATAATTAAACTCTACATTAACTGAAGATGTTTTCAGATAGGAGGATACATGAAATGATGAATGTTTTAGCAGTATAAAAGGAGACGAAAGTTGCCAATGTTAGACAAGCTGCAAGAAAATGTTGTGTTTGAGTAAATTCAGATTGTAAATTTTAAACAAAGGAAATTGGCTCAATTCTTCAAGTTCATAGCACACATTCACTTAATTCACATCATTATACAAACTGAAAGAGTATGACAAGATACCTTTAGAATATAGGATTCCACAAGGCTTAAATTTGCTACACATATGTTAACATACATACTGTAAATAGCTTAGCAACTTTTTAACAAAAGTGGACCAGGAGAAAATTGTTTGATTTAGGTTGATTCCCTGAGGCAGTAAACACTGTAGGCTGCTGCCTGCGCAGCACACTTCATTGATATACAGGAAGAATTGGGCACACTGTGTGGGAATTGAGGTGGCAGTGACAAACTTCTTGCCAGAATCCTTAATCTGCACATAAATATCAACTAGTTTCTGTGTACGGGGACAAGTCAACTTAATGGTGGTTGAAAACAACATTAATAGCATGGGTTCAGTTCCTGTTTCAGCTGAAGCGGACTTGGAGTGTGTCTCCTTGCCCTACCTTGTGAGTCGAAAAACAATGGCAAACTGCATTTGAAAGGAAACAGCTTAGAAAACAATTCAGGATGAAGCATTAATATACAATGAGCTAAGAATCTGTCTTCTAGCAGAACACACATCACTCACTCACGCTCTTAATTTAGTCTCAAATTTCACAAATTGAACCACTAAGGTCAAACAGTAAAGCAGTTTCCTTTTACCTTGCAGTGAAAAGAAAGATCGGTCCAAGTTAGAAAGCTAAAAACTATTGCAGAAAATAACATAAAGTGTAAACATAATCCAAGTCTGCTTCAGCTGAAATGGAAAAAGCAACTTATGCTTTTTATGTTGTTTTCAACCAGCAATAAGGTGACTGGCCCCTATAAACCCAAAACCTGATATTTCTGGACAGATTAAGGATATTGGTGAGAATTGTTTCACTACCACCTCAATTCCCCAGTTCTTCCTTGATATCACTGAAGAATGCTGTGCAGGCAGCAGCCTACATGGTTTACTGCCTCAGGGAATCAACCTAAATCAAACAATTATTTTTAAGATTTTATAAGATTTTCAAATTATTGTTTCTCAAATATGGCTGGAAAAAGCCGCTTTTGACTACTGATAATGCTTAATCAATTGACTATATTCACTGCTATCAAAAAGTATAAATAAGCATCAAAAAGTAAAAACAAAATGGGGAGGTGATGGCTTTGTGGTATTATCACTGGACTGTTAATCCAGAGACCCAGATAATGTTCTGGGGACCTGGGTTCAAATCCTGCCGCAGTAGATGGTGGATTTTGAATTCAGTGAATATCTGGAATTAAGAATCTAATGATGACTGTGAATCAATTGGCAGGAAAAACCCATCTGATTCACTAACATCCTTTAGGGAAGGAATCTGCCATCCTTACCTGGCCTACATTGCCTTTGGGCAATAAATGCTGCCTGGCTAGCAATGCCCTCATCCTTGAATAAATAAGAAAAAAAAGAAGTTTTGCTGCTTGCCATTTTGATAACAGTTGCAGTGAAATGTATTGTCAAAAACTTTTAAATGATGTTTGGAAATACTGTATGCCTGAGAAGCCTGAGATTTTTTTTAATACACCTGGGATGGAGGGCATTGTTTATCACTCACCCTAATTGCTTTCAAGAATATGATAGCGAACCACTTTCTTAAACTGCTGCAATCAATGTGGTGTAATATACCCACTGTGCTATGAGGGTGTTTTTAAGTCAGATGGATGTTGTTTGAAGTGGATGTTGCAGGTGGTGGTGTTGTATGCACTTGGTACCTTTAATTTTCTAAATGGTAGAGATTGCAGATCTAGGAAATACTGTTGAAGTAGCTTTCACAAATATTGCAGTGCATCTTGTGAATAGTACAGACTGCAGTCATGTTTGGTCAGCGGTGGAGGGACTGAGTGTTTAAGTTGGTGGGTGGAGTGCCAGTCAAGTGGGTTGCTTTGTCACGGATGTTGCTGGACCTTGTGTGTGTTTTGGAGTTGCACTTATCCAGGCAACAGTCCTGACTTATGCTTTGTAGAATGTGGACATGTTTTAGAGAATCACGTGGTAAGATAACAGATGCATAATACCAAGCATCTGACTTGGCTTGCTAATAGGATTTATGAGGGTTGCCCAGTTAAACTCTGGTCAATGATGAGCCCAGGATTTTGATGGTGTGGTTTTCAGTGATTGTAATGTTATTGAATGTGAAGAGGAAGTGGTTAGATTATTTTTTGTTGAAGATGGTCATTGCCTGGTATCCATATGGTATGAACATTACTTGCCTCTTATCAGCATAAGTTTGAATATTGTTATGGTAGTATTTTCCCATTGTAATACACATAAGCAAAAAAGACAAAATACCACTTCTCTCATTTTTATTGCAAATGCGTGGCAGAGGTTTTAGGATTTACAAGTGAAAGATACTTTTCTTGCAGTCAGACATTAACTGTCCTATCCAAATAACTAAAACACAACAGCCACTTGATCTGAGTTATGGGAAATGAGACATTTAAATGTACTCATGAATTATGATTCATGAACAGGTGACATTATTTCCATGCTTGAGTACATGTTTACAATTCATTTTGCAAAATCAGGAGAGCATAGGCTATGATTTACTGTTAAAATGAATAGACAAATAATTAGCTATTCTTGACTATGATTTTCCCAGATGCGTTCTTTTGAATGTCATTCCCTACTAACATAGGAACATGAAATCACCCTTATCATACTTTACTATAATCTTATATTAATCACAGAAAAAACAATCGCCTTCCTCTACATTGTAATCCTGTGTTGTGAATCAGCTTGGAAATAGTCCAAGTAGTAAGTGTAATCCAGTTCAAGGGAATCTGAAGCTATAACATTGCCCACCTGATTTTACTTTCTACTAATGTAAGATTGTGAGATTTTCAGAATTTCCTATCAATCCATTCCCGTCACTTTCCTGCCAGCTGAATTATGTTATAATTGTTTACTGGTGTCCAGTGAAAAAAAAAACAAACAGTATATGTATTCAGGGAGTAAACAAGCTCTATTTCTTACTTGTTAAAAAAAAGAAAAAATTTGTTCAGCCCTGTATTGAATAGCTTCACGGCTGAGCTAAGAGAGAAGCAAAATGACCTGATCCTGGAGGCTGGTCGGAGTGCAATTAGAAGTGTGTTTCCCTGACGAATGTTAGAAACTATTAATGCTTTTGCCAGTCAATAAAACAAAACTTATTTAAACTGTACGAGTACATTGAACAAATATTACCTTCCTACTACCTTAGTGAGTGTGACTGGTGAGTAACTGAACTACACAGGCCAGGGTTCTTGGCTAGTGTTGATTTAATTATTCTAAGGCAGGGTGGCAGAGTGACTGCTACAATTGATTTCAATCTTGCAGGAGAAATTTGGCTGTTTCTGGTCTTGATTGTTATACACTGACCCCTGCTGGAGGTTAGCAACACCTGTACAGCTGAGGAAAGGATCCGAATTCAAATAATTTGAGCAATTTGCTTGGCATTGGAGGGTGCCACCTGTAGAACCATAGTCCATCATTAAATCAATACCTACAAATAGAAAATTGTTGATTAAATTGACAAAGAAATTATTCCATCAGAGGGTCATGGACAGTATAGCTTTCTAATTTAATAATTTGCGATGGCTAGGAACAGTGGAAATGTCACCTTAACCACTGAATCAGATTAAAGTTTTATAGTTAATTCTCAGGAATTCACGATCTTGCTTAAAAGTGTAGAGAATTGAACAGTAAAACTTTAATGTTTCATTATTTATAACAGTAACAAATTGCATTTGTATCACACGTATAACAAAGTAAACTCAGGTTAATGGCACTTTGCAGGATCATTATTAAACAAGATACCCAAAAACCTGGTCAAATAGTAGGTTTTATGGAATAACATAAAAGGAGAGAGAGGTGGAGAAGTTGAGGGAGTGAATTTCAGAGCTTAGAACCTACACAGCTGCTGATTTGACTATCAGTGATGCCGCTATTAAAGCAAAGATGTGCATGGAAAACTGAAGAGGTCCAGAGATCGTGATGGGCTGAAAGAAGTTAGAGAAAGAGAGGGACGAGACTTTGGAGGAATTTGAACATGGCAATAAGAATTATGAAACGGAGGTGTAGACAGACTGGGAGCCAAAGTAGATCAGCAAACACAGGGCTTAGAGGTTAGAGTTGAATAAAACTAGATGTAAGCAAGCAGATAGGCAGCAGAGTATTGGCTTATCTTCATTCACGGACGGTGGAAAGGAGGCTAGCCTAGAAATCT